TTCGGAGATACACGATCAGGCTTATACCCAGCAGAAGAAGTCCAATTAACAATGCCACGATCACTACCACTATCTCTCTTTTCTTGCTATGGGCTGTTGAATCCTCTATCCATTTAACAGAAATGGTCAATTGATTAGTTAGATAATACAATCAGGAAGCACAAACCTAAAGGGATTGCTTTAGATTTCTATCCCTTGATGTATTGAAATTGTTATGGCAAAAGGGATGAATAACGCTAAACAAAACAAACACACAAGAATTTAGAAGCTTATGCAGGGGCAAAAATAGAATTGCGACTTGAGGAGGCCAAATCAAAAGAAAGTATTTTCACCAATCAAGGCGACTCGAGATGCCCTTGATAAAGCCGAAAGGAGAAGAAGGATTTATGTAGCCGATCTCATTTGATGGGACTTAAGGCTTGGTTTGGTTTGGTTAGGGCGACTCGAGATAATTTGACGTCTAAAGGGATAATTTTAAATGAGGTTCTCTACAATTTTCAGTATTGTTTTAATTTTTTTATTTAAAATTTATTCTCTTTTTGAGATGAGAAAATAACTAATAATTAAATCTTCTATTCAAATTTCATTAATATATTCTTTTACTTGATAATATGGCTAATTCACTTAATCTTTCTTGTGACAGACAATTTTAGGTAGAATTTTATCATTTTTAATTTTAGAATTGCTATGAGCAAATCTTTCTATAATTTTATATAAGATAGACATAAAGTTATAAAAATCATATAATAAAATATCTCAACAATATAAGTTTAGTCATTTGATAAGGTTTTGAAAATTTATTTTGAGATTTAAAGTTGATCAAAAAGAGAGTTCTGTAGTAGAAAGACAGTTTAGGTGTTGATAAAAGTGAAGATGGCAACTAATTGGACTTTTTTTATCGCTATTCTTGTATTGATAAATAAATCTGGTTGTCATGTCTTTTTTTTTTAAATCTGGTAGTCATGTCTTTTTTTTGGCCAATGCATTTTTTTTTTTTTTAAAGTTGACTAGCTTAGTTGATTTCCAGCCTTCATTTTTAAACCAGGGTCTTCATTAAAATAAAAGTAAGGTTGTGTTCTAATCAAAAGATTTGTAGAGAGAAAGGAAAAGGGTAGGAAAAAGTAAATGATGCAGTTTCACTTTGAGTATAGAGATCAAAGATAATCATAACTCTAGACCTCTGAAATAACACAAAATAAACAAAAATCCAAACGATAATAAACCGGGGTCAAAATTGACTCAAATACAAATACAAGTATAACCTACTGTGGTGGGCATGTGGGTTTAGATGGGTAATAAGTATCATCCAGATTGAATTCCCACAACAAAGATCAACATTCAAGATGAAACCAAAATGAACTCTCCGTTTGCTAAATTATAGTTAGATGTAGAAAAGTAATATAGTGAGGAATTTTTTAAGGAAGAAATGTAATGGTTCAGTATAGTTAGCTACATGGTTCTTACAGAGGTATAATCTAATCAATCTATGTTCACTAATCTATGTGTTTGGTATGAATTCTTACCTAACTCAGAGGAAGCCATCCTTATGTAAACGTCTTGCTCATTTGTATTTAACTCTCTCATATCAATCAACTCACCAAACCAAAGCAAGCAGCCACTTCCACCTCTTCTTATGTCTAAATTTGAGTAAGCCATACAAGAGCAGTTTTTCAAGCATACCATCTCACATTCCCCGAGTGTCATGTTCCTGTCAAACCAGGAGTTCCGTGTGTCCGGCATTTTATAGCCTGAATACTTGACAAATCCATCTCCATTATGGCAATCCAACGGTGTCCTCCGAACACACCCATTAGACCAATCTCCATTTCCCCATTCCCTTTGGTTATGGGGCACAAATTTGCTCAAACAACCACATACCGGATTGTTTCCAACGATACAGTTACCATTCGGACCACACAGTTTATAGGCATCACAGTTATCTGTCGGCGAAGTCAGGACACGGACCCATTGCTGGGTTCGATCAATCCAGTTCCAGCGCTGCACAACGCCAGTATGATTCAGAGAAAACCTTGAAACAACTGAGCTGAGGAGTTTATAATCATAATACACCTCCTCCTTGGTGTAAACCAATTCAAATGCGTAGATAGAATTAGATTTAAGGCTTGGTCTCCCGCTGAATCCGATACCATTCCATGGCCCAGTTCGGAACACCTCAGCAGAACCACTGCTCAGAATATTTTGTGGGTACCCTTGAGGATCACACTGGTATGTAAACTCACCTGGAGCTGGATCATCGCTGCTCTTCCAGGAGGAGAGGTGGCGCTCTAGGCCCGTTACAAAGTTCTTTCCAAGCTTCATGCCCGGTAAAAGAGTATCACACGGATAATCAAAACTTTGCCACAGAAAATGCCCAGACTTATCGTTGGCATCTTGCACAACAAGATTTCCAGTCTCCATCAGTCGTGCAACAGGGTCCCGTGTAGATCCTGTCATATTGGGATACCAAATGACTCTGCCAGTACCATTGACAAGGGCAAGAATTCCAGGGTTGATTATAGTTAAGACGCTTGACGAATCAAGGAGTGGGATTTCTCTATTGGCAACCCATACAACGGTTCTAGGAGAAATATTCTTGTACCATATTCCTAAGTATTGATTCCGGGAACTGCCAGGGCTGAAAAAACCCATCTCAAAGCTTCCACCAGAAGAGACTATGGTGTTGCTGCCTGTAATCGAGTGAGTTTTAGTTATGGTGTCTACTGTATTGGAGACTATTAAGATGGAAAATAAAGAGGAAAAAAATAGAGGTATTTTAAGGCTTTCCATTGACAGTCTCCTCTTCAATCCATGGACTACCTTTGTTTTTCCATTGTTTATGCAATTTAAAAGAAATGTAGTAAATAAATAAATAAAAAGAAACAGAGAAAGAAGAAGAAAAAAGAAAGAAAGAGGAAGACTCAAGACCTCTTGCAGTAAGTCTTCCTTTGGCCCACATTGGTTTGCTATTTGCAATAAATCTTAAGTCATTATTTAGAAAAGCATAATTTTCTAAATTTTAAGTGTACCTTTCGATTGGAACAGCTAGATATTGGGAATCTTGGATAACAAAATTCATAGACCATGCGATTTTTTGTGTCTCCTTGTTTGCTTGTCTGTTGTTGATTGCATAAATGGCTTGATATCTTTTCTGATGGAGCATGGAGAAGCTGCTCTCACTGAAACTGAAGAAATTTCAAACACATATTCAGTCATCCCTGCAATGTCAACTTCAGAAATTGTCATTTTTTTTTTCTACTGATCAGTTTATTTATTTATTTTCATTTAATCTGTAGGATAAGCATACAGATAACAAACTCTGATATCACAATCAGCACACCATGCCCTTCTTTTTCTCTCTATTAGACACTAAATTGGAGAGCAGGTAAAGATTCCTTTCAATTATTGGTCCAAAGGGTTGGAATACCATTGAGGGAATCCCATTGCGTATAAACAATCAGTCATGCCCATCAGAATAGTCTAAACCAACTTGGCACTAAATTCAACTGACCAAATTAACAATCGATTTGGACATTTTTAGAAAAGCAAGGCATTTGCAAATTCATAAGACAGGAAAAGTAAGCTAGTAAATAGAATGAAAATCATTCCAACAACTCTTCAATAGTCTTGTTTCTTCTTCTTTTACTTTTCTTTTAACAGAGTAGTCTAGCTTCTCAACTGAACAACTCCATTTCATGCATACTGGAAAATAAAAGTCCAGTCTGCTATCACTATCGCCTTCTTTATTACCATAGATTTTTGGACATCTCATCATGTGCAGCTTCTTCAAACAGGGGCTTCCTAAGGATTATGTATGAGATAAAAGGAGCATCAATTGATTCTATTTCACCAAATTCTTTCACCTTCTATGTGGCTGTTTAGTAATATAGTAGGCCTATTGTTTTCCCTTCACCATAAAAATAAGAGGGACAAAGAAAGATTAGTATTAGAAGTCTGTTATGGACAGGGTAAATTCCACTGAATTTCCCTCGAGGTTTCTAGCTAATACATTGGTACCCCTGTAGTTTTGGAAATTACATACTCCTCCCTATATTTTTTAGTCGCACTACAATTTCCTCCATCTGTTAATCAGCTGTTAGGTTAACTAATACATAGGGATGATGTCAGCTATTAAGAATTTTAAAATTCCAATTTTAACTCTATTAACATATTCGTGTTCCCTTTGATCTGTCACTCCACTGCCTTGTAACAAACTAACAACAGGCATAAAAACGCAACAAAAAGACTGCTTCTCCCCAAAGCTAATAACACAACAATCTCAAACCACCCAATTTTATGAAAAGTATCAAAGACGTAAAGCCCAATTTACCAAATAAAGCCATAAAACCAATCCATTAACACTGACTGAAGATTATGGCTCACCAGCCATGAGTACTTAAGGGGAAATCTGTTGATCTACAAATCACCAATTGCAAAAAACAAAAACAAAAAAAAAGCAGAAACAAAAAAAAAAAAAAACGAGCAGAAACCCGTCACCAGAATTGTTGTAAAGCACACAATACAACAATAAATTTATTAAATTATAGAATTCAAAGAAAACGGAGACAAAGCAAAAAGCCTATCCCAAATAAGACTTTTTAGTTCAAGACTTAAAAGAGCCAAAGAGCCAACCCACATCCCAAATGAAGCCATTGTCAACATCTAGGCCATTGTCAACATCTAGCAATTGCTAGCTTTGACATTTTTATGAATTATTCTGAGTCTGAAATCTTGATGAAGATAAAAAAAAAAAAAACCACCAAGAGATACCATTGGTAATGTGAAAGTGCTTAGTCCAATCCAATAATGTGCCACGGGTTAGATTTGTGCAACATTTTGGCTTTGTTAATCCATGCTTTGCTCGTTGAATTTTTGAATATATCAAGAAATGAACTTCTAAATATAAAACCACTTCAATGTTGAGAGAACTAAAATAAAGAGTGGAGTTGTTAAGCTTGAGAGAGAAGAACCAAAAATAAAGAAGTCAGAAGCTTTTGTTAGGCATGTATTCACACCATAATCCCCTTGTTGATGCATCATGTTTGGATTTAACAACCAGTAAGTAGCTTGCGTATGTTCTTATTACTAACAAAGACCATTCCTTGGACCTCCGTGACAAAACTTTCTAAATGACTGTTAAAATTTACCTTCACCTACCACACCTACTACACCTACCACCACCTACTACCACCTACTCCTCCACCTACTCCACTACATCTCCTATATAAAGAACCCTCACCATTTGTAATAAATAGAACATATCAATCAATAATACATCAATTCTAACATGGTATCAGAGCAAGATTAAGAATTTAGTATTTTTCGCTTCACCGGCGGGGGGCAACCTCGCCTTGGCCGCCCGCCGGACCTCAACCAATTTGAGACCTCCATCAACTCGCAAGACCTCTCTCACACTTTCTCTCTCTACTTTCTCTTTCTAGAACAAGCCTGGGCTCGAAACCCTGCGTTCGTTTTTCCATTTCTGTTCTTCATAGTGTCCGGCGTCGGAGCTCAGTCTCCGGCTTCTTCTCCTCCGGCTGTGGCTGTTCCATCGCCGGCTCCGAGCAAGAAGAAGACTAAGAAGAAGCTCAATAGGAGCCGTTGCTATATGTTTTTCCTTCATCATCAAGCTCGAGACGAGGCAGCTGCCTTAAGAACGGGTTCATGTCATCCATTTCTCTCTGATAATCTGTTGGCGGAGTTCATCTCAACGTTAATCTTCGTCTTCGCAAGAGAAGGCTCCGGCATGGCCTTCAACAAGCTGACTGGCGACGGCGCCGCCACCCCCTCCGGTGTCCTCTCTGCTGCCATCGCCCATGTTTTTGCTCTTTTCGTCGCCGTCTCGATCGGAGCTAACATCTCCGGCGGCCACGTCAACCCCGCCGTCACCTTCGGCGCCTTCATCGGCGGCCACATCACCCTCCTACGTGGCATCCTCTACTGGATTGCCCAGTTGCTTGGTTCCATCGTGGCTTGTTTATTACTCAAGTTTTCCACCAATGGCATGTCAACATCGGCATTTTCGTTGTCCTCCGGAGTGAGCGTATGGAACGCTTTCATGTTTGAGATCGTGATGACCTTTGGATTAATCTACACCTCTCTCTCTCTCTCTTTTTTTTTTTTTTACTTTCCAACCCATGTGCATTTTTTTTTATTCTACTTTTTTGACAACCCATAGGGTCCCAAGTCTCTCTCTTCTTTTTTCCAACATAATCATCTCTCCCAGAGCATCATACACACAAACCCATTCTTCTTTCTAGATTCTCTCCCCTTCACTCCACTTTCTCACATGGATTTTGTCCCCTCTTTTCGTTTCTTTTTCTTTTACTATTCTCTACCAATTAAAAAAAAAAAAGAAGCAGACGAAGACGATCTGCACACCAAACTCCTTTTATTCATGTCGGGGCTCACCCCCGTTCACCATTTTTACATCAAAAAAAAAAAAAAAAAAAAAAAAAAACCAACCCACAGGGGGATTTTTCTTCTCTACTCTGCTGCAGGTCTCTTCTTCTTGCTTTTCTCTTGGGTGTCCCTTACCGGCGCTGCCTCCATACTACCCACTCCACCGAGCACGTTCACTCCACCCTGCTCCTCTACTACAGCATATGGTGGACCTCTAAATCGGAACATCACGGTAGCCTTCCGCTTCAGCTCCTTGTTTTCCGCCTTCAGCACACTTATCTCTGCTCGCGCATCCTTATACATGCGCTGGAGCAGAGCCAATTGGCCGTTTAAATGCTGTACCTTATTTGTCCTACTCTGCAGCCGATGCGACAAGTTTGTGACTGCCGTCATCGTCTCCACACAGGACTTCAAAGTATACTGATTGGCTTCAATGTCAGTTTGCACTGCCATTTTTTGCTCCACAGACCGCATAGGAAAGTTCAACGGAGCAAACCCTGGGGCGCTTGGTTGAGGTTCACTGGCCCCCGCACCAGTTATCTCTCTTGTTGACTCATTAAGGTCTGGAAAGAGAGTGAGCAGACCACGGGAAGACGAAGCCATTTTCTGGACAACAGAGTGTTACAGAGTGTCTCTCTCAGAAATCTCTCTCAGAAAACAGAGTGTTATAGAGTATCTCTCACAGAAATCTCTCTCAGAAAACAGAGTGTTACAGAGTATCTCTCTCAGAAATCTCTCTCAGAAAACAGAGTGTTACAGAGTATCTCTCTCAGAAATCTCTCTCAGAAAACAGAGTGTTACAGAGTATCTCTCTCAGAAATCTCTCTCAGAAAACAGAGTGTTACAGAGTATCTCTCTCAGAAATCTCTCTCAGAAAACAGAGTGTTACAGAGTATCTCTCTCAGAAATCTCTCTCAGAAAACAGAGTGTTACAGAGTATCTCTCTCAGAAATCTCTCTCAGAAAACAGAGTGTTACAGCGCCTCAACCTTGGTTTAAATAGCCAGGGCCGATCCGCGCATCGCGCGCCACTTGACGCCAGATGACAAAACGGGCGCGCAAGCCAATGTAATCACGTGCCTCGCCATTATGTCCGGTACACCTTTTGATAAATTGGGCACGCCTTTTGATGGCACGCTTTTTGACAAAATTGGGCACACCTTTTGAGAGTGCAACTTTTACAACGGTCCGACATGACCCCATAAACTGTCCCGACATTTGATTCCGGTTAGCATACAGTGTCCTCTACAACGTTATGACACACCCCTCCAGTGTCCTCTACCCCGTTATGACACAACCATCCAGTGTCCTCTACAACGTTATGACACACCCATCCAGTGTCCTCTACAACGTTATGATACAACCATCCAGTGTCCTCTACAACGTTATGACACAACCATACAGTGTCCTCTACAACGTTATGACACCACCATACAGTGCCTTCACCAACGGTCTGACACGACCATACAGTGTCTCCTATCCTCTTTTATTTTTATGTATTTTCTTGTTTTGTTACTCTCTCCAAACTCAAGTTGGTTAGTTCCTATCCTCCTTGAGTTTGCGGGGGGTTGTTAAAATTTACCTTCACCTACCACACCTACTACACCTACCACCACCTACTACCACCTACTCCTCCACCTACTCCACTACATCTTCTATATAAAGAACCCTCACCATTTGTAATAAATAGAACATATCAATCAATAATACATCAATTCTAACAATGACGGACTATTGGTCAATTTTCCGTAGTAAAAATGAAACCAAAGTCATTACGGTATTCAAAACCTTGTGTTATATACAATATCTGTTGGGATTAAAAGATATGATTACCCATTGTTTATATTTAGATACACATGTGAAACAACATTCAAAGTCTGCAAATAGCCAACACAAGACAAGGAAAAGCAACCAAACCAAGTAAAAGACATAGGTAAGCCAGATTGTAGCATAGAAAACAGGGCTTAACATTTTGTTTATCAGCCAAGATTTCTGAAGCTGGTTGCCAAGAAAGACAGCTTTGACATTATGTTCATTAGCTAAACAAACTCAAAGGTCTTGCTTGGATCATAACAATTACACATCAACAAGAATTGTCTTCTATCGGGCCTCTAACTATGTTATGGTGGCCATATTGGCGGAACATTGTTCAATCTCTCTTCTTTCTATTTCAAGAAGATTTCTTTCAGTGAAAAAACCAGGTTGTTTAGGCTGATGAGTCAGAGCACCCTCTTTGCCGAACATCCAAACCACACTTTCCATGCTAGGCCTATCCTCAGGCCGTTGTTGCACACACAATAAACCCACGTGAATTGAATGCAACACTTCAGTTAGATTGCATGAGTTCCGTAGTTGTACATCAATCAATTCTGTAGCCTTGCCTTCCTTGTATAATCTCCAGGCCTGAATAGTAGAACACACTTTCAAGTTGTCATTTGAATTATTCAAAAAGTGACATTGAAAGTATTGTACATAATTTTTATACAAAATCATGCAGTTGAATTGAGGCATTTTATTTTAAAATAAAATATCCTTCAACGTGGCTCATAATTGGATTTAGAGATATTATTGCTACATCATTATAGATAAATTTTCTGTATATAACCCTTTTTTGTAAGATCACGATTTTCCTTTTCAAAAGAAAAATTATTCAACTTTATGGTTACATGCCCAAGAAGGTTGAGGTCGTGACTTGGGTGAAAAAATCCCCTGTTTCTCTGCCCACTCACTACTTCTAATACCAAAACACCAAAGCTAAATATATCGGACTTTACTGAGAATAGCCCCTCCATTGCATATTCTAGAGACATGTACCCACTAAAGGAAAGCAATAAAAAATTAACAAATTTATATAGTTGAAAAAAGAAAACTTTTGAACTAGTTAGAAGATTCTTACTATGTTCCAACCACTCTTTTCGTATTTGCTACCGTCTCATTTCCTCCAAATATTCTAGCTAAGCCAAAGTCTGATATTTTTGGATTCATCTCTTGATCTAGTAAAATATTGCTACCTTTCAAATCTCTATGGATAATTTTCACTCTGGAATCTTGATGAAGATAAAGAAGCCCCTGAGCAATTCCATTGATGATGTGGAAGCGCATAGGCCAATCCAGTAGGATCTTTTGTGATTGATCTGTCCAATTTTTCGCCCAAGTTAAACAAAGCTGCTAGATGGTTTCTCGATTATAAATGCAAAATGATTCCAATAAATAAAAATATAATTTTGCATTGGAGGAAGTCTAAGAGGTCAATTAGTAAGACCTTCATCCTTGATTCATAAAATGGGAAGGTTCCCATTGAAGGGGGCATAAAAGACAAAAATGTCACTGGTTTGTAAAGTAGAAGTGCCTCCCTTTTGGCTATGAACCTCGTAATTCACCTTTTACAATGAGACATTGGTCACAATGTTGCTCCAATATGAAATAAAATGATTGCTTCATTGGTGGGCTGGGTTTAAATTTAAGAAGCTTGAGTGGATGATTTGGAAAACAATTCCTATGCCTTTGCTGTGGTCCATCTGGAAGTGCAGGAATGATTGTGTTTTTAGAGGAGTTCAGCCACAGGTGATAGATCTTTGTGAGATGGTAAAAATTATGATTGCTTTGTGAGTTAAGTATAATAACCCAAGCTTTGCTTTTTCAGTGCATGATCTGGTTCATAATCTGCAGCTGATTAGGGGCCACGCATCGTGATCTTCAAGGACTTGGTGGACTGATGGAGTTGGGAATCTGGGTGGTCTGAAGCTTGATGGTTGCTCCATGCTAGTAATGACAGAGGTGAAGTAGAGAAGGAGTACATCATTGTTCATTATGCTGTTGCTGATATTGCTGTGTGATATATGAGGATTTGGGAGGTTAGTTTGGCAGTGTGATTTAGTAGGTTAGTTTGGTACTGTGCTGATATTGTGTCATATATGGTGGGTTGTTGATTTTGGTGTCTTTATGTTGGTCTCTCACCAACTTTTTTGGCTTGAGCTTGCATATGATTCGGTGTTTTTCTTGGTGCCAACCTAGTTAGGATTAGGAGGTTCACTATGATGCGTGTTTCTCTTGCCCTCTTTATTGATGTATTTAATGTGTAATGCATTTTGTTTCCATCAATAAAATTTATTTTCTTTAGCCGATTAAAAAAAAAATGAAATAGAATGAAACTAGCTAATGGTTTTAAGAAAGCCATACTGAAAATAAAGGAGTCCAAATTATTGTTGGGCATGTATTCATATTAACAACCTTTCTTCTCCTTGAATGCAATATCCTAAAAGCTTTACAAGATTCCGATGCTGAAGCTTGGCAATGCAGATGACTTCATTCTTGAACTCATCGACTCCTTGTTTTGAATTCTTCGAAAGCAACTTCACAGCAATTTCTTGTCCCCCTTCTAGCATACCCTGACAATTAAAAATAATCTTGTTTGTTAGGTACAATATGGTGCCATTGAAAGAAGCCACATCAATTTTTCTGCATTTTTCCTTTATGCTTTTTCTTCTGTATAATGTTTATGTTTGATTCTACCCCATGCTTAGCATAAAGTCTATGTTGAAAGTCACTCTACATCTTCATTGGAGCTTGTTCAGATAATAACACTATTAAATATGTGTGCTTCTTAAAAATTTTAAAATGTAGAGTTATTAATTCTGCATGACATAATGGGAAGTTTGTGGCAAAATACTGAATCAGTCATTGAATTAGGCAATCTACTGTCAAAAGTTCATGTGGTTGGGCATCAGTTAGTTTTCAAAAAACTGGAAGTGTAGTTATATTTTTACCTTGTAAACAGGTCCAAATCCGCCCTCTCCAAGCTTATTGTTAATTGCAAAGTTTTTTGTAGCTTTAGTGATTGTAGAAAAGTGAAATAACAGTAATTCTATATCTTCATTCTTGGCTTCTTTGTAGCAAGCTGCTCCAGAATGATGTCTTATTTGTCTTGCAGAAGGGAGCCGTTGAGAAGATGTAAATGAAACAACTTGTTCAAAACAGGTAAACGTTCAAGCAAGCACACCTACAAACGTGAGATACTGAAGCATCAATGACTAATTTTTATTTCCTTCTCTCTTTGGCTGCCACTTTTTCTTCCAAATGTACGATGAAATGCCCAAGGCAAGTGTTCCTGTCAAGATTACTGAGATGACTACAATCCTCTTTCCTGCCTTCCAGTTGTGGCCAGCTTGACCTAATACCGAAGGAATTTAATTAAAATCATTTAAAAGCCGGGCAAAGATGCTCAATCTTCCATCCAAACTGCATCAAGCATGGGAGCTCAAGTGGAAGAGTTGTTTGTTCCCGTAAAGAGTCCAATTTACCCACCTCGTATGAAATGTCCAATCAATAAAGAAGATGCAAACTTATTGAAACCGAAAATAAGTGGTTAATAGTTAGATTAGCACCTGTGGAGTTGAACTGTCACACCCCAAATCCAAGCATGACCGGCCGTAGCCCACAGGGACTCAGCCCAAGGCACACGTAAGCCTCACCACTAATCCATAATCACATTGAACAACTATACAAAAGTCCAATAACAAATAACCAAACTCAAACCAGTGACATGCCACAAGTATAAACGGCAAAACCAACCGTAATCAATACCATCCAAACTTATGGGATATAAATAGCCCACATATCAAAATAATCCTAAATGAACCTCAATAAAAATAAAAATAAATATGCACAACTTTGACATAACAATCTAAACCAAAATCAATGAATGTCCTAGAGGTCCATGCAATCGAGTCCCCACTATGTCATGAGTCCACTCTAAATCCTTCTAACACCTGGAAATGGTAAACAACTAAGTCAGCTGATAGCTTAGTGAGTAACAACATGGATAGTAAATACAGTTTTGAAAACAGGGATCAATTCCAAAATAAGATATATCTCACAGAAACTAGATTGGCATACAGTTTTGATAAAGATAATCTGTTTCAAAAAGAAGGTTCCACAGTTCAACAGTTAAAATACTTATGTCTCTCATGATCATGATAAATGACATTTTCCACTTAAAACAGGTTACAACATGAACACCAATAATTTTCTGGGTACCAAGAAAATAACAAGTAACATGCCACACAGTTTTCAAGGCTGTAAGCCTCGATGGATCCAATACCGAACTAAGAGTCATCCTCAAGTTGGCAACCTGGGCCTTTTCTTTAAGACGATCCGATTGAAGGTCACCTAGCTTAACCTAGGTCTTTTCCTTACAATCGTTGAGCACTAGAGTCAACACGGCCCAACCCGGATCTGTTCCCTAGTGGCCAGAGTCACCACACACAGTGGAATAATTTTCCTGCACTAAATACACAGATGGTCCCAATAATCAATACACATCAGTTTCGCAAAACATGGTACTTCATCATAATAAACATGGGACCAAAACAAATAGTTTATAGTATGCCAAGTTCACACATGTTTCACAAATAATTTGATTCCATTGATAATATAATAATTTATCAAAACTGTTTAGTCTTGAAACAACAATTAAATTTTCCAACAGTTCACAACATTTATAAAAATATGTAGCATGAAACTACTCATATGAAAACGAAATAATATAATCCTCGAATAGAGTATGAAAGTCCAACCAGTGCCCTGAACCAAGTATGAAAACTACACGTCACTATTAATTTAAAAATACTAAAGAATAGGAACTAAATAACCTCAACTAAAGCGCACTAACACGGCTCAATTCAACTCACCGTTACTCTTAAATATTACCTAAGCTCATGTTCTTCAAGGTCTAAAATCACCCAAGACATGGGTTCAAATCGAAACTTAATTAAAAGTGACTTTAAGATAAAATAGAATTTTAAACTAGTTTTCCCAATCTATTCGCTAACTTTGAAAATTAAAAACCCACTCCACATTGTTTGAAAAATTTTAAAACCCTCCCGATATCAACTAATATATCCTAAGTTTCAAATTGGTTTCACTTGATTTGCTTATCAAAATAATTATTTACAATTAATTATATTCAAACAGGTTGTTTTCTGCAGCACTTTAAAGAAATTGACGGTTCTCTTAGTATACATGAGCAATCAATGCAAGGTAAAAAATGTAAGAAACTAGACTCGTAACCGGTTCTAATGACACTGATTTGATAATTTTCGGATTTATACCCAAAGAGAACAACACTCCCGAACTTACTGTTTAAAACCAGTTTTCTGGACAGATTTCAACGTATCGGTTTATATGGATTTTGACTCCCAAAAATTATGAAAAAATTCATATATTCAATTCAATATGTAATTAATCTACTGTAAAAATTTCAGTTCAAAATTCATTCTTTTGATATGGTTTCTTGATTTTTAAATTTCGTGATTATGCACAGAATTTTTGAACTAAGAATAATACCCATTCTTTATACATGAATTTAACTCCTCAGATTTCATAGCAATATATATATACAGACACAAAATACATACACCTACAACCTCTCCATAAATGAATTATATAACAATAGAATAAGGATAAAGAACAAAGAAAGAAGCAAAGAAAACCTAAGAGGCCACAAGGCACAACACACACAAAGCTCTCCTTGGCTACAACAATAATCTTGATGATTGAATCATCCCTCACTTTCCTTCATAACCCACGGCTGCTAGGGAAATTGTTAGAAGAGTGTAAAACCCAAATTGTGTGTAGGATTATTTTATTGGATAGATTAGTAATTAAATTAATTTATATGGGTCATTTATTAATATCAAAGAATTAGTTATGAGATGGCATTATATTTTCTATTACTTAGATGGGTAATTTTGTAACTTTGAGAAATTAGGTTAATAAGCCCACCTATTGTGGCTTTAAGTCTTGGGAAACAAACAAAATAGAGGCTGGGAATTGCTCCATAGGCGGCTAGGGTTTGAGAAGGTAAAAGAAAAATTAAAGAAAACAAAACAAAACCAAAGTGAAGAAGGAGGATTCATAGAGTGGTGATTTTTCTTTATTCATCACTTAAGGTAAGATTTATTTTATTGCATTCTTATCTATGATTTTGGTGTTAATATATCAATAGATGATTTTATGGGCATATATGATTAAATAGATATATTGATGTAGTCTATGTTGGGGGTCTCGATTTTGCTCAATTTTAGAGTGTATTTTGCATCCCG